CCTTATGAAGTGATCATAATAAATCTAGCTATCATCTGTTAGCATACAAAGTTATTACATACTATTAGTTACATTCCCTATACTGTACATTGTATCCTCATATCTTATTTATCTTATAACTAGAAGTTTGTACCTTTTCATTCCCTTCCCCTATCTCACCCATTCCCCCCGCCCAAACCTGGCAACCATCAGATTGTCCTCTGTATTTATGAGTCTGTTTCTGTTTTCCTTTGCTTGCTCATTTTTTTTAGATTCCATATACAAGTGAAATCATATAGAATTTGTCTTTCTCTGTTTGACTCATTTCACTTAACTTTATACCATCTAGCTCTATCCATGTTGTCACAAATGGCAAGATCTCATTCCTTTTTATGGCTGAGTACTATTCCAGCATGAGGTATATCTGTATCTAGGGCTAGATCTGTATAGAGATATATCTCACATCTTCTATAACCCATTGGTGGACATGAAGGTTGTTTATATATATCTTGGCTATTGTAAATAATGCTGCAGTGAACATGGGGGTTCGGATATCTTTTCAAGTTAGTGTTTTTGTTTTTCTTTGGATAAATACCCAGAAATGAAATTGCTAGATCATATGGTTGCTCTGTTTTTAATTTTTTGAGGAAACTCCATACTGTTTTCCACAGTGGCTGCACCATTTTGCATTCCCACCAAAAGTGTAAGGGGGTTCCCCTTTCTCCACATCCTCACCAACACTTGTTATTTCTTATCTTTTTGATACTAACTATTCTAACAGATGTGAGTGGTAGCTCACTATGGTTTTGATTGGCATCTCTCTGCTGATGAGTGATGCTGCATGTGCCATGGATATTTTCAAATGTTAATTTAGTTGAATTTATCAATCTCTTTTTAAAATAGCTTTAATTTTTGTCTCATATTTAAAAATCCTCTTTCTCATGTTTTTTGTAGTATCCAGTGATTTAATTTTTAAAAATAGATCTTTTATCATCTGAAATTTATTTCAGTAGAAAATGTGAAATTAGTAATCCAACTTTATTTTTTAAGTATGACTATCCAACTGTCCCACTAAGAAAACCCATCATTTTCCCTTCTGATTTGAAATACTTCCATTATTATACACTCAGGAGCCTGTGTTTGGCTCTATTCCTGACCTTTAGAATGTGTAATCTGTTCTATTGATCCATCTATTTATGCCCCAGTGCCATGCAGTTTTCATTATCATAGCTTTATGATTTAGAATTCTTGGTAGGTTAGGTTGCCCCTGCATGACTTTTTTTTTTTTTTTAAGATTTTATTTATTTATTTGAGAGAGAGAGAGAGAGCACAAGTGGGGAGGGGAAGAGGGAGAGGGAGAACAAATCTGAAGCAGACTCGGGGCACAGAGCACAGAGCCTGAGGCGGGGCTCCGTCCCACGACCGTGAGACCGTGACCTGAGCTCAAACCAAGAGTTGGATGCTTAACCGACTGAGCCACCCAGGTACCCCTATGACTTTTTTTTTTAAATTTTATTATGTTATGTTAATCACCATACATTACATCATTAGTTTTTGCCCTATGACTTTTTCATGTCTGTAACTCCAGCTTACGGGAATGCTATTAGTATTTTCCCATTAAGCATTAGGTCCTAATGGTTTTTTACTTCATAAAGACCCTTTTCAATTCCCATGTGAAATGATTCTTGCCCCACTGTGCATGGTTAGTTGTGTCAAACTTTTCAGTTGTGTCTTGCGAAAACTAAAGAATGAAAGGTCTCAAGCTACAAAGGCCTTCATAATATTGGGCAGACGTTGCCTCCTAGTGGCTTCCACTCATTAGCCTTCTGAAACAACAGAAGAGGGGAATGGTCTCATTTATGATTTCGGATTTCTGAGGAGACAGTGGGACTCCTTGAAATAGTTTCTCTCTGCTTTACAGCACTGGAGTTTAACAAATGTCCTTTGTCCTACCAATGGAGAGACAAGCAGGTTGAGAGTCTTTCAAAGGCCTGCTGGGCACAGAGCGCTGGGATTGTACTCGTGGTACGCTTATGCTCCACTGGCAATCAGCGAATTGCTGCTGAGTCAGGGTTTCTAGATGCTTCCTTGCCCTCATGTTCCTGAAAACTGCACATATAGAGCCATCTCTTTCCAATGCACTGTGGCATTTGTAGGGAGAATTCCACACCTATGACCCAAAGTGACTCCGTTTGGGTCACATTTCTTACTGTCTTTTGAATTTTACTCTTGGCTTAAGCCTTCTAACATAGTCAGATCAGTTGTGTTACTGATGAGGCTAACATCCCTTCTTACCTAAGCATCAACAACCTGCTGTGGTTCCATCTGTGGTGTCATCACTTAACTCAATTTGGATATTCTTTGAATCTTAATCCTACTGCAAACTATACTTTGAGTACGGTATGTGGATTCAGGTGCAGTTATGACATTTTTGTTTTTGAAATTAAAAAAATTATAATCTGTGGAAGGGTGCTCCTCTTCAGATTTCAAATTCCAAATTTTTTTTTTAAAGATTTTTTAATTTATTTGACAGAGAGAGAGACAGCAAGAGAGGGAACACAAGCAGGGGGAGTGGGAGAGGGAGAAGCAGGCTCCTGGCTGAGCAAGGAGCCCGATGCGGGGCTCCATCCCAGGACCCCGGGATCATGACCCGAGCCGAAGGCAGATGCCTAATGACTGAGCCACCCAGGTGCCCCCAAATTCCAAAATTTTTAAAGTTTTCATTTGGCTAAAAAGCAGGGAGAGCTAATATGAGGACTTTTACGATATTCAAGTGAGATCAGACAGTGAAAAGACATGGAAGTAAACCATTGGTCTGTGAGCTTTTTTGCTTTGTTCCTGGTGCTGGAACATAAGATGGCAACCTGTCAACAATAAAACTCTAGGACATCTCATGTTACTTTCGTTCTCATGCCTGGTGCTTTTATTTCAGATTCAGTGAGGGTATTGTGCACATCTGTCAAGTCTGCACGACCTGTTCATACGCTGAAAGCAGGATCTGATCGCATATTCTGACTTCAATACCATATAAACCTTTATTCTTTCAATGAGTGATAAGACATAGGATGCAGTTGACCATATATATGGAATTCTTTCCTTGACACCCTTCATAAAACTGAAAAGCAAACACTTACCCCTAAACCAGTATTTTTGGTATTTAACAACCTCATCGTGACAAAATGAAGCCAGCATGTTATATCCCTTCTCTGGAGCTGAAATTTCCTCACCTAGTCTTGCCATTCCCACTCCCTACCCCCAGACTTCAGGGTAATAGGGCCTGGACATGTGATAAGTAATTGATAGACATTTGTTTAATGGGTGAATGAAATAAATTCGGTTCAGGCGCTAGTATGCTTACGGAAACAATAATTTTACTGCTTGTTATAATGAAAGTACATTCAAACCATCTCTTCAGTCATCAATTCAAATAAGATAAGCAATACATCCACCCCAGAATAATATTCTAGATATCAGTTGGGAATTACATTCTCAATCAAAGGAAATGGTTTTTCATTAACTAACTGAAGCATAATTAGTTGTCACCGAACATGTGGCTCAATGATTCTGGTGCGGCTAAAGATAGTACTTGCGGAGGACCTGGTCCGGTGGTAGGTTCTGAAATAACAACCACTAATGTTGGAGGAGTTTCCAGCCGCCTCTTTCACGCAGGACGCTAAATAGCCCATGCTCAAACAGACACCGTCTGGTCCCCGCCCCTACCCCCTTCTTTCCGAGGAACAGACTGGGTGTCTTTTCACTTTTGGACATGGTGGGGGCGGGCACTGTGACCTTTCTGCTTTTAAAAACCTTTCAATTAGTTTGTTTTCTCAATCAATGATGCTTTTTTCCTTTTTCTTATTCTCCATAGTGTTGTCTAAGGCAGTGTACTGAGACGTGCAATAGTCAACAGAAGCAGAAGTGACCTGAAGAAAATCTTTGATTCTGACACTTTGTAGTACATTTGTTAGTAACAAACGCAAAGAAAAACGAAGACAAATAAGCAAATAAACATTTAAAAAACCCCTATCCTTCTGAGGATGGACAGGAAGGGTGTTGAACTGTTGTTCTCATTGACCGTTATCCCACGCATAGCTCCCGGGAACAGGGCCCAGGCACAAGCACTCATATTAGGAATTCTTTCATTGGTAAGGAGCCTGCCTCCTACCTCTGCCCAAAGCCTCTCCAAATGGAGGCTGAAAAAATGAGCAGTTGAGTAATTTATCTGTATAAATGCTCTAGGCCATGATATCAAGCAGATTAAAGAGAATAGAAAAGAGGCACAAGACTACTTCAGTTCCCCGGCAAGTTCAGAGAGCTCCATCTTCAAATGCAGCAAGTCTCTATGTGTTTAAATGGTTTGGCTGTGACAAGCCGCTGCCAATTAAACACTACTACCGGTACTTTTATTTTAATATACAGGGGAGGTTAAGAAATAGCAACTTTGGAAATTTTCTTTGGCAATTAGAACTCTGTTTTCTTGCTGGGATTAAGCTCGCCTTAAAAGGTACAGTCTTCTCTAGGGATCTTCTGTTTCTTTAACTTTAGTGGCTTTTGTATGATGGCCGTGTCCAAAATCATCACTCACCTTAAGTTTTCTGCTCTTCCTGATCTTCTAATTAGATAATTAGCATCCTTTGTATTATTGATGGTTTAACATCATCTTAATCCAGAAGTGCCCTTGGAGGCAAAAGTTGATAGAGAAAATAATACATTCTTAGAGACTCACTAACCACAAAATTAGTCTGTTTTCTGAATTTAAAAAAAGGTTTGGTTTATTTCACAGAGCATTCTGGAAGGCATATATTTGACAAAGTTGACAAAGGTAGAAGTGATTTGACAAAGTAGTCTTAGTGGACCAGGACCATTTTATAGAATCTGGCTTGCTAACTCAGTGGTTGCCAAGAGGGAAAAATTAGTTATTTGTTGTTAATAAAAGATGTTCATTCATGACAGGATTGAAATATGATGAGTTATTTTAGCATGTGACCTTATATTTAAAGTTATTTCTCTTTTGTATTTAGATCATTCTCTGGAATTAAAGGACTCCAGCTGAAAGTTAACCTCCAACCCAATGACAATTACTTTTTCTATGTGAGAGCCATCAATGCCTTTGGGGCGAGCGAGCAGAGTGAAGCTGCTCTCATTTCCACCAGAGGTACTTTCTCCTTCACACGCACTACTACTTCCAAGCCTTTCCATTCCTTCCCTCTAGAAGGCCACTCTAGAAGGCCACTTCTTAAAGCCTCAACCTCTTGGCAGTGCTAGGTTTTTGGCATGAGGATCCAAGATGGGTCAAAGACCAAGATGTTTCTTTTTCTGGTTTAAGAGGTTCTCAACCTTGGCTACCCATTAGCAATTAGACAGGGTTCTTAAAAAATACGGGTGCCCAGCCCCCACTCCTGGAGACCCTGATCTAATTGATCTGGAGATGGTTTTTGACATGTGTTTTTAATCTCCCCAGATGATTCTTGTTTGGCTCACAATAAGCTATAATTAGTGGGTATGTTTTGAGTGTATGTTAGGGACAGTGGGATGGGGATATTCTTTTATTACACTGTAAACTCCATGAACAAGCTTCCAGTATTATTCTTCTGTTTATTTTTGGTGCTTAGCACATGGTTTGTGCCAATTAATGTTTGTTGAATAAATGAATGAATAACTTAAGGAAGCAATAAAGCTGTTCAGTGACATTTTGGAGAAAATTGCCAAATGATGCCAATAAAAAAAGTGCTTGGCTGTTCTCAATTATTGTGAAAAGAAATGAGAAATGGCAAGGTGATCATTTTCTTATCTTATCCTAGACCCAAAGATGGCAGAAGATTGACGGTGGTACATTAAGTGATTTGCTTAACCAGCCAAAACTTGTGCACAGGCCTTGTTTGTGATGTGGTCAGGGCCAGCCTGATGTTGCTGAGAGAAGACATGAGAGCTGCCTGCCCAGAAATATTCCCCCTGGTCCCAATATGGTGCCCGCACCTTCCACTGTTAGAACCACTCCTTTAGCTTGCACCAGATTCAGGTTCAGTAGGTCTGGGACGGGGCTGGAGATTCTGCATTTCTAGGCTAGTTTCCGGGGGTTGTAGTTGCTGCTGGTCCAAGGAGCGTACTTTGCATAGCAGAGGGAGGGAGCTCTTGTACAGGAGGTGACCTGCAGCCCCGGCTCGGCTCGAGGTAAGCAGCCGCTGACACTCACGAGTGCCTTAGCATGGATGAGATTTGCAGCCTGCGGATCTGAAAACACTTGAGAGGGACAGTTTGATGTCAGGGGAGAGGAAGAGTAAGGTCTGAAATGTGGTGCTTGACCCAGGGACAGCACTTACCATTGTGGTAATGTTATAATCCTGTTTTCTTCACTGCGACAGGAACCCGATTTCTTCTGTTGAGAGACACAGCTCATCCTGCTCTGCAGATTTCCTCAAATGGGACAGTGATCAGCTTCACTGAGAGGAGACGGTTGACAGAGTAAGTAGGGGGAGGCCCCTCGTGCCTCAGCAGTGGAGTTTTCTGACATGTGTCCTTCTGCTGTGGCCTCCCCTGAGCATATCCTTGGTTTAATGGACATGCCTGGGAGTATGGCATCGAATATCAACATGAGCACACCCATTCGGTTCCATTGCGGTTCAGCACGAGGGGAAAAGTGACAGTAGTTCCTAAGTCGGAGCAAAGTGCCCGTATTTGTATTGCAAACACAGGCACAGACAGTTGTATTTAAAACATCAGCTGTTTTCAGGTGCCATTTCTACTTTAATGAAAAAGGAGTCCAGGCTAATTCTTCTTTTATTTTTAATAGCAAACCAGGTTTTGTGTCCAACCACTCGAGAAGAAACAGAGGAGAATGACATTCTGTTGAGTTTCTGGTTCTGGCCACATGTAGGACTTTCAGATTTTCAGACTTTCTTGTCCCTCCCTACCCGGTAGCTCCCACAGAAAAGAGCATTAAAGAGCTGAAAGCTGAGGGCACCGTGGGGAGACGGCTCTGCAATTTGCCAGCTATCTCTCCTGGTCATTTTGAGCATCAGAACAGTCATGTGGGAGAAAGTCGGTGAAAGGCTTTGGAAAGTGTAAAAAAAGTGATTTCAAAAAATCAGAGAAGAAAAGAAATAGACTGGAAGTTGGTAAGAGTTCATAGATAGTAACTGATGATAACTGTAATGTATCTCATAGAATTTTATTTATTAGTAATCCGAAAATTAGCTCATACATATCAGGCAGCCAGGCTGTGCTCAGGGAGCGAGGGGCTGTCAGTATCCACCTCTTTGGAAGGAGGTTATTGGGTAAAGACATGAGAAAGTGAAATACATTCCTTTGCATTAATCATTTTCTCATCTGTTAAAAAGGAGAGGGTGCTGGCTGAGTATTAACACTGCTTAAATTAAAAACGCTTCCTTGCTGTCTCAGCCTTTTCAAAGCAGAGGGGAGCAATACATGCAAACAAGGTCACCCATCCGCAGTCCAGAGTGCTTGGGTTCATTTCCCAGTGCCTGTTCTAAAAATGGCTAAGGCGAGACAAAAGGAAACTTTTCACCAACCTCTCAGGTACCCTGCTACAATCCGAGGAGGCCAGAGTCCCCAAGACTGTTGACCACAGCTTCTACCAAGCACACTCATCACACCTGGTCAGTTCTATGCTCTGCTCTGGCCTCCCCAGCTGTCTTGGCGCTCAAGAGCTGCCCCTCATTCGGTCTCTGTGCCCAGTAAGGTCAGCAAACATGGAAGGGAACTCACTGTTAAAGAAGATGTTGGAGACTCCTCCTCCTCCTCCTCCCCCGCCATCTTCAGGTTTTGGGAAAAAAAATTTTGCAGGTTATGCTCTCTTGGAACCCCGCCTGCCTTCCTCATATTTCCTCACTCTCCTTGAAAGCAGAGATGGTGCCCTTTCTTTTTCTCTCGCAATTATTCTGGTTATTTCCTGGTTCTCAGCTCCCTCCAGAGATGCAGTGCACTAGACATGCATGTTGTACGTGGCAGTGGTAATACGCCAAATGCAGGTTGAGAGTTTGTGGAGTTCTGGGCTGGTCAGGTCAAAGTTGGGGGCACAATGAACAACAAATGTCTTAGTCAAATTCCAGCGGTTTCCCAGGATAGAGTCCTGCCTCAACTGTGCGCGACCTTGTGCATGTTGGTGTTTATGAGAGCAAAGCTAGTGATTCCTGTGCTAGGCTTAACTGCATCCACTTCGTCCGCAGCATCCCGTCAGTGCTGGGCGAGGAGCTGCCTGCATGCGGCCAGCATTACTGGGAAGCCACGGTCACGGACTGCCCGGCTTACCGACTTGGCGTCTGTTCCCGCCTGGCAGTGCAGGCTGGTGCCCTGGGACAAGGGGAGACTTCGTGGTACATGCACTGTTCTGGGCCGCAGAGGTACGTTGGAGCCCTGCCCTCCCTTCTTGGTCAAAGGGTCACGAGTTGCTGCATAGGCAGAGGTCTCTGAGGCACCTAACAAAATAGAATGCCACTTCCCTGCCCAGGTCTGAGCCAATAAAGAAAGAAAACAAAAGCGTCAACAATAGGAAAACTAAACTATTACTCTGATTACTGAGGAAGCCAGTTTTAGTGAGTGTGGTTCATATCTGAGGGAAAAAAGGTTTCTTTTCTTTCTTTTTAGATTTATTTCTTTATTTGAGAGAGTGAGCATGTGCATGCGTGCGCACCCTCAAGCTGTGGCAGAGGGAGAGGGAGAGAGAGAATCCCGAGCAGACTCCAAACTGAGTGTGGAGCCTGATGCGGGGCTCGATCCCATGACCCTGAGATCATGACCTGAGCCCAAACCAGGAGTCGAAAGCTTAATTGACTGAGCCACCCAGCACCTTGGGAAAGGAGGTTTCTTTTTTTTTTCTTTTTTTTTTTTAGATTTTTTTATTTATTTATTTGAGACAGAGAGAATGAGAGAGAGAGAGCACATGAGAGGGGGGAGGGTCAGAGGCAGAAGCAGGCTCCCTGCCGAGCAGGGAGCCCGATGCGGGACTCGATCCCGGGACTCCAGGATCATGACCTGAGCCGAAGGCAGTCGCTTAACCAACTGAGCCACCCAGGCGCCCAGGAGGTTTCTTATATTGAACGCTATTAATAGACTTGTACCCACCCAGACCCTAGGCCAGGCCAGCTTCCGCACCCTGCAGGGCAGAGTTGGTCCCTGGAGAACAAAGAAGGATAGGTGCTTCAGCGGGAAGCCCATACTCCAGAGATAGGGAAAAGGAAGGAACCTCCAGGCCACGCATGGGCAAGTTTTCCTTCTCAACTCACTTTGGGATGGGGAGGGGACAAGGGTAATACTAAAGAGCTCCCTCCACAGAGGAGTCAACAAGAGTGAGAAAGCCAGTGGGTCCCCAATACCTTCCCCTCATTGGTTTATATCAGGAAATGGTACAATCTAGCCCACAGACCAAATATGACCACTGCCTGTTTTGTAAAATTGTATTAATAGTTTTACTGGAATGCAGTCATCTCGTTTGTTTACATATTTTCTGTGGCCGCTTTTGCATTACCACGGTGGAGTTGACTAGTTGTAACAGAGACCAAATTTGGACGCCCAAAACCTAAAATATTTACTATCTGCCCCTTTACAGAAAAAGGTTGCTAACTGTTTAGTTGGTTAATGTGAAGAAACCATAACCTATGTTAGTCTGAGAGAGCTAAGGCAAGCATGGGATGATCTGAATATGCTCACAGGGTGGGCTGTCTTAGAAACCTGACCTTAGTCCTGGCCCCATCCTTGACTAGCCTCCTACGGGCTATTCACTGGAAGTTCAGTGAACCCTTACAGCATGCCCGAAAGGCCTCATCTATCTTGTCAGGGGACAGTGACACCTGGCTGCTACATTTTTGGGTTGTGAGGATCACATAAAGACAGGTACAGGGAAGAGTCTTGAAATTGTAAAGTATCATAAAATATGAGGCATTATTCAAATGTAATGTTTTAAAAAGGAAGACTTCGATGCTCACAAGTTCCCAGAAAAGGGCCCACAGATTGGGATTTTGCATATCTCTGGCTGCACATTTCTCCCTGCATCCTACTTGACACAGTTTAATTTTCTGACATGGTTCATAAGGACACTATCTCCCAGAGCTATTTAAAGTCACATTTCATCAAGTCAGAGCAATTATGATAATTGATGTTCATTGCTGCGCAATGCTTAAGGACCTAGCCCCTACCCAGAGTAGAAAATCTCTCAACCCCAGAATTTATAATGAATAGATTTAGAATTAGAACTAGAACTAGATAGAGATTTCATAAAAATTTTCCTAGACCTTTAAAACCCCCAAACCAAAGACTAGCCTCCAGTAACAAATTCCTGGACTCTAGAAAACAGAATTATATCTTGTCAACAGGTTCAAGAAGCTTGGTCTTTCAGGCCCAGACTAGGCCCCGTGGATTCGGGGAGGAAGAGTGTGCCTATCGGTGGGCTCCCAGCACAGAGACATCAGGCCTCAAGTGCCTTCACTTCATGTTTCAAATAGAGCACCCCTGGCTTTAGGCACTGGAAGAACCCCTGTGGCAGACCCCCCCCCCTCTGTGTTTCACTTTTCTGGCTTCATGATTTTAAACCAAACTGTATTACTCTCGACTCTATTTGCATAGAATCCAAGCATTAAGATGTCACAATTGGAAAGGAGAAATGGAGAGTCTGAGGAATCGATTGGACTTCTTCCTGTCCACTCCTAGACTTTCTCCCCTGTTCAGAGCCTTCTCACCTCCTCTACCAGGTCCACCCCAGCCACCATGCCTGTACCCTCCAGGGGGAGGTCTGCACCCAACCCACGCTATCCTGTGTGGCACAACTGGCAGATTTTTCTAGAACATCATTTTCATCACGTCCCTTGCTTTTTTGCTCAAAAATCTACAACCATCAACAGTGATATCAACTTTCAGGTGGGACCACGGTAAAGAGAGGAACCCAGGACTAATGTGACCAGGAAGAGGGATGAGGAGCTCTGGGGGGAGTAGCCACCGGAGCTAAAAGGGGTCTGGACTCAGTCTGGGCCAGTAGTGACATTCACGGGGGTGGGCCCACCTCGGCCTGGGGACTCCAGGACAGCAGTTCCAGGGTCACACAGGTGTCTAGAGTCAGGCTTTTGAATGATCTTTGAAAAGACACCAGCAGTCCCAGGAAGGGGCAGGCAAAAGCTGGGCAGGGAGTCTGGCCCCAGGCAGACAGGCTTGGTTTCAGGCCAGAGTGCAGGTTGGAGAAGGAACTAATGTGCTGGATAGGAAATGGAGGCAGACGTAGGACAGGGCAGATTCCAGGCCCTGCAGACCTGGTGGAGCCAAGGCTTCGAGGAATGTCTCTCCCGCCTCGGCCTCCATGGTGGGGATCGGCTCAGGGACTGATTGGGGCTGGGCCTGTGAGCACCAGGGGCGTTCTAAGCAGGGCTGGGGAAATGGCTCGTTTGGGCATTCCGAACCTTCCAGACCAGTGCTGTGCAATCAGACATTCTGTGAAGATAGAAAAATGGTGTCACAGGGGCACCTGGGTGGCTCTGTCGGTTAAGTGGCTGCCTTCGGCTCAGCTCATGATCCCAGGGTCCTGGGATCAAGCCCTGCATCGGGCTCCCTGCTCAGTGGGGAGTCTGCTTCTCCCTCTGCTGTTGCTGCTCCCCTTGCTTGTGCTCTCTCGCTTGCACTCTCTGTCTCTCAAATAAATAAATAAAATCTTTAAAAAAAAATGGTGTCACAGATGGCTACTGAACACTTGAAATGTGGCTAGTAGGACGGAAGAACTGGACACCGAATTTAATTTAATTTTAATTAATTTGAATGTCAGTGGCCACATGTGGCTAGTCGGCAATTGTGATGGACAGGGCAGGTCTAGATCCTGGCCCCTGACTTACCTGTTCATGTCATGTCCGCCATGTCCTCTCCGAACCCGTCGGGCAGATGGTGACGTTCTCCATGACCTAGGGCCTTGCTCCTTTGGCCACCTCGTCATTTCTCCCACTGCCCCTGCTGGCTGGATCTCTCCCTCCTTCTTTCCCACCTGTCCAGTTCAGACCTGTTCCTTCTGGCTGAGTATGAGCCCCTCTGCTCCCAAAGCCTTCCATACGCACCCCATCTACACTGCTGCTCCCCGAGGCGGCCGCCTTTGTGTTCTGAGCCTTCAGACCCCTCATTAGCATGGCACCGGAAAGGGCCTTTGTCATTGTGCGAGCCTTGCTTACTTTCCCATCCCCGTGAACCTCTGCCCTGTCCCAGCACAGCTGCCAACTTGCCATTCCCTAAACACACCTGCACTCGAGCTTCTGGGCCTTGAAGACATCATAGGCCTTCAAGGTCCTCGGCTCTCTCGGCCACACCAGAGTCACTCACTTGCTCAGAGTCTAAAGGGCCCATCAGCCCCAGTGCTGCTGAGCTTTCACCCCTCAGACTCACCATCCTCACAGACCTTTCCCTCATCTCCTCTCTCTCATTTCTCCCCTTCCCCGCTTTCAGGGCTCCAGCCTCTGTTTCTCAGACTGCCAGGAAAAAAACACCAAACTTACGTTACTTTTTGCACAGAGCAATTTAGGTTCTTCTGTTCCAGCAATTTCCCCTTCCCAGCCTGGTCTCAAAACATTAATTCCACAACCACACAGGTCCATTAAATGTGTTTATGAACACTTTTCCAGTCTGTGCCCTGAGATGAAGCCTCAGCCCGAGTCCACGTTTAAATGATCAACAATATTTTCCTCTCTGGTCAGGAGGGCCTGGGCTCCCCAAGGGCAAGGACAGTGCTCTGTGGTCCTTCATATCCCCCCATCCCCCCGAGGGCCTAGCAAAGTCCTGGACTCACAGATACGCCCAATGAATACTTGCTGAGTTCAATTTATTTGAATTGAAAAAAGAAATGACAGGCAACCCCCCTGAGTTGCAAGACTGCAGAAAACATTCAGAAGATGAAAAGGAAAGTCGGTTCAGGGTAGGGGGAGCCTCTATGAAGAATAAAGTTGGGCAAAAATAATGAAATTTTTTTCTTGAACTTCATAAAGGCCCTTATGTAAGTTACTAATAAATTTTTAAGCTGTAAAATTAATACATTTTATGGAAGGCAAGCCTGCAGTACTTTTTCAGATACATGGCAGCCTCAGAGGAGTTTTATTCAAAAGAATGACACACCATGAATGCGGTAGTTAAAACATGTGGGCAGCTGGGAAAGAATTAGAATGTTGAGAAAAATCACAAGGGAGGCATATGCTGGTTATTCTGGGACCGCCTCCTAATGTAGAAGGAGCAAAATTATTAAAAATGCTTGTCTGTTGGGATGAGCTATGCATTTTAGCATCTAGGAGGGATCTGGCTAAAGGATTTGGGACATTTATGGCAGCTCATTATTGTAAAGTGAAATTAATCACTGAAAAATCGGTTATCTCCAAGTGATTTTCTTCACCGTGGCCTTTCAAGATTTCCAGTGTTTAATTCCCCATTCTACTTCATTTCAGATACACATTCTTCTACAGTGGCATAGTGAGCGATGTCCATGTGACTGAGCGTCCCGCCAGGGTGGGCATTCTGCTGGACTACAGCAACCAGAGGCTTCTCTTCATTAATGCTGAAAGTGGACAGTTGCTCTTCATCATCAGGCACAGGTTCACTGAGGGCGTTCACCCTGCCTTTGCCCTGGAGAAACCTGGCAAATGTACTTTGCACCTGGGGATTGAGCCCCCAGATTCTGCAAGGCACAAGTGATCATTGGCTTTCAGAGTTTGCCAGAGCAATCATTCACATTTCGGGGGTCTGTTGTTCTTTCCCTCGGGTGCTATGTATTATTCAAAACGTCTCGCACACATTCACACTAATGGTCGCTGCACGCACAGCGCTCAGCACGTGAGCACAACCACCAAGGAAACCTTGACTTTCTAGGTAGCGTGTGAGTAAAGAGGATGGAAGAACAGCCTCCGCCCTTTGCCTTCTATATGTGTGAGTGCTTCCCTAAATTGAAAGGATTTATGCCTGACTTGGGAACCAAAGCAGAGAAGTGGTCTTCCACCTGTTGTAGTGGCAAAAGACATCCTCGGATGGACAGGTCTGAGCGAGGGGAAGGCTGTGTTAGTCCTACATCTCTGACAAGAATCATGGGCTTTTTCCCTACAAGAGAGGTCACCTCACTCCACTAAAGGATGATGTTTTCTAATCACTAGAGAAGGTATTTTAACTGTTCTAAGTTGACAACAAACTCTTTTGTAATAAGAAAAATCTTATTAATATGTACTGTAGAACATGAGTCTCTTTTCCCCGAAATTTAAATGTAGACAAGTGCTAGGTATTAGAGATTTCCATTTTGTTAAATAAATGCTTAGAGTCTATAAAACAAAACATGTTATATGAACTTATTATATATAACTTATGAGCCTGGCGTCTCTGGACGGGGGCACACTGCAGAGTAAATGACCATTATACTTGAGTGGCTTGCGCTCCGACTAATTTTCACATAAGATTTTTATATGTATCTTTTAAAAATCCAAACATTTTATCCCATAGTTGCAGTCAACTATAGGAAGCTAGGAATCTCTCTTTGTCAAAGTGAAATGGTTGGTCATTTTTAGATACTATATTGAAATCTCTCGAAATCTTCTTAAAATATGTGTGCAAAGTTGATAAATCTAGAAGGCATTTTGAGATGATTGCTCTTGTTTTCTAGAATATAAATACTTGGATCTTATTTATAGATGTTTTAGCATTACTAATTCATTGATTTCTTTTCATGAATCAAGAAATAATATCCTACTTTGGAGGTCTATTCTAACTTCTATTGATTAACAGCTAGAAGATCCAAACCGGGTCTGTAACTGCCTTGGTAGAGCCCCTTCAAAGCTATCACAACTCTGCTTTAAAATGAGAACAGCTACTGGCAAGGTAGATACTTAGTGAAATAGGGAGAACAATTTACTTTGTTGAGAATGTTATCTTCACTTTTGTCAAGTCTTAAAAGTGTTGCCCTCAGATTCAGAGTCATCAGCAACCCACGGTCATTATTACTTTTTCGGTGAGGATGTCATGTAATTAAAAACAGGAACAGTAGTAGCAACCACATGAATTTTAGAATTTGGGTTTGGGTTCCTCCGAAAGTAGACCTGGAGATAGAGATTTAGTGCTGGTTGTTTACACAGGAAGTGATTCTGGAAAGCACACTGGAGGAAGTGGGGAAAATAAGACAGGAAGGGGGAAGAGCCAATAACGGGCATGTTTTATGAGTGGGTTATTGCCATGTGAGCAACTGGGGTTCACTTGCACAGGGGGCACCCTGGAAACCTTTCAGAACATGCCAGAGGCTGGCATTTAACCACCCTGTCCAACCCCAGGGGGCATTAAATTCCCCACCCCCCTCTTTTCCAGGTTGTGTTCCTTGCAAACACCTCTGGTCCTCAGAAAGTCTTCAGACAAAGGAAATGAGAAAGAAAGGCATCTGACACAGAGTTGTCAGTGGACAGCTGCCTAATGCACCTCCTGGTGCACTCAAGTGACCTGGGGGTGAGTTGGGGGTAAATGGGACAGGGTACCAACAGCATCTGCCATCAAGTTAGAAGCAGCCCTGGTATTAAGGGGAAAGTCACAATAATGGGAAGAACTAAGGTTGAATTAGAACTAAGTTTGAAAGGAGCTGGATTCAGCTCTTTCTAGGTGATAACTTTGGGCAACTCAGATTTTTTAGTTGTGGCTTTCTCTCGGGATAATTGCAAACAACAGATTAAATAAGCCATGTGAAATGTCACAGCACTCTGTAGTTTATAAAACATCCAGACAAGGCACTCCAGAGATCCTCTCAGGCCCAACCCATTTAGTGGTCCTCCTATCTTGGAGTCCATGGCAAGTTCATGGTGGAAGATAGGACTCTGGGGTCAGGAGATCCATGTTTCAGCAGCCTTTATCCATCAACTGATAGATTTCCTCATTGGTTTCTAGGGAACTGTTCCTGTGGAGACAAGCAAAGTGAAGTTAATGCTTTTTCCTTACACCCTCAAGCAATTCTTTCCTCCTGAGTCCATTTTTCCTTCTTCTTGTCCTTCCTCTTCACATAACACAAGCCCTCAGAGGGAGGAAAGGAGGTCAGCAAATTTTGTCAAAATTGCTTCTCTGGAAATCTGTCAGTGGTGCTTATTAGTTTAACAACATGTATAGCACATACATGATCTCTCTTAATCTTCATCAGAATCTTGCACAGTAAAAATCGTTGCCATTTTATAGATGAGGAAACCAGTCTCAGAGCAGTTAAATAACTAGTTCACACTCAGAGCCAGCAGGTGGCAGAGTGTGGATTTAGATGTAGCTCAGATCCTCAGCCAGGAGAATCAAATGATGTTTCATTTTTGTATCACAGGTTGGTTTTTCCATATATTTGTGATGTGGGAAAATTACCTGTGTGTATGTATACATACACACTCTCTCTCCCACACATGTACATAAACATATGCGTGCATATGTTCATACATACCTATTTTCTTCCCTCCTGAACTGACTTCCTTCCCAAACATCCATTTTGTTGTTGATGCTGTTGTGGGTTTACCTTTGATTCTTTCTTCAGTACCAGTGACCTTCATTAGGACTCAAAAAAGTCAGTAACATTTTGTTTGTGAAGAAAAGACTTTAATACATGAGACCATAGTGCTTCCTCTGAGAAGTATAGGGTCAAAATAAAGGAGTTTGTGGGGAAAAGAAGAAGAAATGAAGATTAATCCTATGGTCCTTCTCTGTTTGCATACCCATCTGGCGGCCCTGGACAGATAGGTTCTCTGTCAGAGGTAGAAGTATTTTTCTATGGAAGCAAACCAGAATGTGTTCCTGCTGTTTTTCGGGAGATGCTTCCCCACAAGGCAACAGAGCTGAAGTATCATACTTCATCACATCCACTTACAAAATTATGTGCTTTAAGCACCAAACACTAACACTCTCCCATCCGAAGCATCCTTCAGGCCCCAGACTGGCCTGTATTGGAAGTCACTCCTCATCTTTATTGTGTTAATTACCCATCAATTATTTCAAGTGTTCAATTGCTGGAAGAACTCACAGGACTCCAACGGTTGATGTTCACAGAAGAGCTTCATCACAGGCAAAGGATATAGTACAGCAGCAGAGAGGAAGGTTAGGCATCGAAGGGGTCCTGGTGCCTCAAGTGCAGTCTTGTTCATGCTCCACTGTTGGGTTGCAAAGTATGCACACCATCTCCAGACCTCAAACCACCACCAGTGTGCAGGTGAGGCATTGTAATACCAGAAGCCCGGGGTTTGTTTCTGATGATGTTGGGGTAGTGATCTGGTCACATAGGCACTTTCTAGCTATACAACCCCAGCCCTAACCTTTGAAATTCACCTCCCTGATGCCTGCCGGCTCTACCCAAACCAATGCAAATCATAAATCCAGTGATGATTACTAAATTATACTGACAGACTGATAATTCTGCACCCAAACAATGGATGGCTCCATGGGTACAGAAAGTCACTTATTTTTAGCTAATAGATTCCATGACATTATCTAAGGGTCTGTAGCTCTGTGGATTTGCATGTGATCAATTAAAACTAGCAGAAATGAGCCCATGCTAGGCACTTACTGTCCTGTGTTCCTGAGCTCAGCTGGCTGGGGGGTATTTCAAGAGCAATAATAGTAAGGGCTGAAGGCCTCTGCCACCGAGGCACTGTCATCACCTCATGTCCCTGACATGGTGAGTGCTAGAGAGTGATCGCAGGGACATCCCTGAATTGAATGAAGCTGACACTGATTTCCAGCCCCCTTCCCAATGCAGGAGGGGACACATTTTCTGGGCTGTTTTCCAAGGAGGAGCTCAACACCTCTCATTTAACTTTAACTGTCCTCAAAATGTATATGGTTGTGTCCCTCTTTGTGCCCCTCTTTTGGTCTTAAGTGAACTCCCTTTCTATGCGGAGTCTGTTTTTGCAATTGATATCAATAATTTCAGATCCCCCAATAGTATATGGACTATAAAGAATGGCTTGAGAATAGGTGGGGGGTTAAGAATGTTTAACTCAGAGCAAAGATCATCAGGGAAGGAGGTAAGAGGTCTTCAAAGATTTGGAGAATCATTATGTGGGAGGAATTAGGCTTACTTTGGTTTTTACACTAGGACGGACTGGCGGGGAGTCCCAGGGTTGAGGAATCAGTTGAAGAGATGGAAGAACACCCATCAATGATAGTTGACCCGGGAACATGCTGCTCAGCAGTAATGAGCACTCAGAGTCAGGCTAAATGATCAACTTACTGGAATATTAAAGAGCACATTCTTGCTTTGGGTTCTAGATGCACAGTTTTAAAACTGTGTTCCTGACATGCTGGGATTCCACAGAGAGGTCTGATGGCCATTGTGGGATCCAATGGGAAAGGCAAATGGACATAAATTCTGACCCCTATCCTATTGGATCATGGCAGCTCACTTTTAATCTGTTTTACACATTGGGTTCCATATAGTAATTCATTTCATGAAAAGATTTCTATGGTTAAGTAAAGTATGAAAAGCAGATAACCATTGAGATTCAAGTCTGAGGTAGGGTGACCCAAAAGTCCCTAAATCCCCTATTCTTTCAGGGTGCCTTTTCCTTCACTATCCAACACTAATACCATATGGATTGTAAGAAATTCTACTTCCCGTCCCAAATTTCTGAGAATTTCTGTTGATGATTGCATTCTGCTGGTTGACATCTCTGACCTGCTTCTGAATTCTCCTCATGACCTCTAGTCACCTCCCCACTACTTCTTCATGCTTCCTTAGTCCCCTTTGGTCATCACCATCCCAAACCATTGACACAGTGCTCCATCAATTCCTAACGGCCGTGCTAACATGGGTCTGACAGCAGTGTTGGTTAACAGAGCTTTTGCTCAGGACTTGGGGTTTGTGGGGGAAATTTCTTCATAGATCATGAAACAAAATACAGCTCAATCTGTGGCATCCAGCAGTGCTAGGAACCCCTTCTGATCTCTTCTCCAGCTCAGTCTTCCAGCCATATTGAACAGATTAACCTCTCTATTCTACTATATTCTTTAAGTTTCTAGCTTCTGCTCAAACTTTTCTCTTTTTTCAGGTCAGCTAGCAAAACTAGAAAATTTCAAAATACAAAAACCTCTCTTACCGACATAGGCATCTTTTAGAACAGAATGAAAGCAAAATTTTTGCCCTCTTAGCTCAGCCTCTTCCATCCTGCCCAGATTCTAAGACCTCTCTTTGCAGAACTAAAAGGTCCATTAAAGCAATTCTCTAAACCAAAGAACACTCGTCTCCCAAAGATGAATTTGGCCATTACCGCTTAGAAGGGTTTTAGAATCCCCTTAGTGTCTTCCCTTTAGTGGATTTCTGTAGAACTAGGTAATGACTGAAAGTCCTTTCTCAGCCTAACTGAAGCTCCCTGACTCGTGTGGGACTGCCCTGACACATTGGCCGACTTTACTGCATGCCAGGCATGTCAGGAAGAATGACACCCTTCTAGAGTCAACATAGTTTTTGAGGATTTTATAACTTCAGAGGCAGTGGGCAAAATAATGAGGACAAAGGAAAATGGAGAAGGAGAAGCACAATTCATTCATTAATTCAGTCAACACATATTTATTGAATACTTACTATGGGCTGGGCACCACTCGAGGCCCTAGGGAAATGACAGCCATCCAATCAGATAAAATCCCTGCTTTCAAGAAGCTTATATTCTAGTGGAGGAAGACACAATAAGCAGATACATAGTAAGTCAGTGGGGAATGAGAACTAGGAGAAAAAAGTTCAGAGAGAATAAAGAGTAATAGGAGGTAGGGGCTGCTATATATTTTAGATATGGTGAGACTATCTCTGATAAGATGCTCTTTGAGTAAAGACCTAAAGGACGTGAGGGGGCGAACCATGTGGATATCCTTGGGGGACGAGTATTCCACACAGAGGAACAACAAGTGTAAAGGTCCTGGGGCAGCAGTAGGGGAGTGTTAGAGGACCAGTGAGGCCAGGAAGGCTGGAGTAGAATAAGCAAGGGGGAGAGAATGCTATGAATTCAGTCAGAGAGGAGCTGGGGACCAGTCCATAATGGCCTTACCAGCCACGTAAGGATGTCAGATTTTATTCTGGGTGAGTTTACAAGAAAGAACAGGTATGGAGAGTAGACAATCTCAAAGAATTGGCTTTTCATGTGCTTGGGTATTATGTTTTTCAACATTGAACAAAATGTTTCATGAAGGCCCCCTGAGCTGGCGTTTGCCAGCTCTCAGCTCCTGCAGAGAAGGGCTTGGTGTAGGTGGGAGAGAAAAAAAGGTGTTTTTTGTCTCCTTCTTAGCTCTGTCCAGGAAACCTATGGCCCTGCACACTTCCTGCTTCAGGGGAGCAGCCCCCCACTGACTGGTCGCCATTAGGACCACCTAGTACAGAACTGTGGGGGGAAATTGCTATCACACCTGGGCTGACTTTATGCTGAACAGAGTCCACTTGCCCTTGATGAAAAGTTGGCAACCAGCAAAGATGGAGAAATACAAGCACACTTGAAGAAAATGTTTCATATCTTTTCAACTGCATGATTTTTCAGTGACAGGGAAGAGGAGATAGTGACGTCATCTCAGGAGGTGGCCTGGCCAAACGGGGCCTCGTAGGTGTGTATATATGTGTGTATGTGAGTGTGTTTGTGTATGCGTCTCTATGTTGCCCATATTTCATAAGTGCGATTGTGTGTATATGTGTGTATGTATGTATGTATATATGTGAGCATGTGTGTGTACTGGTGTGCGTGTGTGTGTGTGTGTGTGTGTGGCTAGAAGTGTCCCTACACTTCAGGGCTTGCTTTCCCATTGAATATCTAGAAACTGCATTTGTCAGAGCTCCCAAGAGTTGTTAGGTCTACAGGGACTCACTCCCATTAATCAAGTCCACAAAAGACTTATTAATAACTTAGAACACCAATTGCTTAATTTATAGCGAGAAATCAAATTACCAAGGGGGCTGCTGGTTAGAGGATTCTCTCTCTAGGCCCCTGAGGAGAATTAGCATATTTTCACCCAGGGAGCCCTGTGACAGTCAAAAGATTGTTCCGCAACCAAGGCGAATTATGTGGATGATCTTAATGGCCAGCATTGTTAAACTGCCATGGCCAGCCAGGGACCCCAGCGTTTGGGTTTGCTGCTTTAAGTAGTTTCCCCTACATCATCCCTGAGAAATCCTTGTCCTCTGGGGGTTATTCAGTCCAACTGCTTACATTAACATGAAAAAAAAAAAGTGGCTCTAAGACCATTTCCCAGGCTGTATAGTTTTTTTCTTTATTTAGTAAATACTCAATTCGATTTTTAGGCCCTATTCCTCCTGCTTTTGATCCAAAAAATATCATGCCTGTTAGGATGACTATGCCGATGATAGAACATTATCTACTATGTAAAGATCTTACTAATTTAATAGTCAGAAGGAAATGACACTTGGAAATTCTTATGTGATATCTCACTATCTCTCCCATGGATTGACTGCCTGTGGGAGGAGGAGGACATTCATTCAAGGATTTGTTGCCACTGATGAGAAAGAATGGTTCAGAGCACACATCCGGGAGTCATGGAGATCTGGCTTGAGACGTGGCTCTGCTCCCTCCTAGGAAATTGGTCAAATTGTTTAACCTCTTTCAGAGTCCTCACTGTAAGACAGGAATCGTACTAGTTATTTTGTCATGAGCTTGCTCAGACAGTCATTCAAGGACTAACTAAGGTGCCGGGCACTGCTGTAGGTGCCAGGGATCCAGCGGTGATCAAAACAAACACGGCTGCGCTCTGCACGTTGGCATTCTGGTGAGAGGAACGACACACAGTAAAGGAGATAAATAAGCTACCTGTGTGGGTATCAGAAAGTGGTAAGTGTAGACAAACCGTAAGAGACTTGTAATCATAGGAAACAAACTGAGGGTTGCTGGAGGGGAGGGGGTGGGGGGATGGGGTACCTGGGTGATGGACATGAAGGAGGGCATGTGATGTAATGAGCACTGGGTGTTATATAAGACTGATGAAGCACTGACCTCTACCTCTGAAACCAATAATACATTATATGTTAATTAATTGAATTTAAATTAAAAAAATAAATTAATTTTAAAAAAGAAAGTGGTAAGTGCTATAAAGAAAAATGAAGGCAGGGAAAGGTTGTTGTGACACGTAAGTGATTGAATCCATGTAAAGCTCCTAAAATGCCTGGCATATAACCATCGCAAGAACTTGAGCTGTTACTGATTCGGCTGCAACGCGGGGACTCTTCCAGTGAAAGAGGTCACTCTATGTATACCGTCAGAACAGCACCATGTCCTCACACACACTGTGGCATGTAGTCATTCTATCTGTGACCACTGTATTTCCAATGAAAGTTTAAAATTTTCTGGTTTTTACTCATGGCAAACACCCAGGAAAATTATTTAGAACAAAAGATAGATTATCCTTAATGTCACCACTCAGAAGCAATTTAACTTTTGGTATATATCCTCCAAGGCTCTTCTCTTTTTCATTGGATACACACACACACACACACACATTTTTTAAATGCAAATAAAATCGCTGTTACATAGCCCTTAAAGCTGTGTCATGAACATCTTCTGACATCAACAGACATATTTGCATCACTATCTTAATCAATTGCAGCCCCGCTGGAAAGATGGATTTTAAGCTAGTTTGTTATCCGTAGATACTCGATTGACTTCCAGATTTTCTTTTCTATAAAAATGCTTTGGTTTTAAAGGCACCAACTTCACTATTTGGCCTAGAGTTTTCCATGGATGTGTCATGGGAAAGTATGCATTATTTCCATATTCACTATGAAATCTAATCACCTTTTATAAACCCAGCTAGGAAGACTGAATAGAAACTCCCTCATGGGACAATCTTGCTGGCCAGCTTAATTTAGAGTCCATTCAATGTAATTGCATTTAACTGTACTCCATTTAGTTGTATTTTTTAACGTCTGCCATGTCAGGACGCCATGTGGATTCCTGCTGGGAACCAAGAGGAGTAAGACGCAATCCCTACGTTCAAGGAGGCCAAGACAGGAACACAGGTGTCGGTAATCAGCACATAGGCCAGAAGAGTCATGGGATCCCAGAGTAGGGAGAGAACATATCTGTTTGCTGTGACCAAGTAAGAATAGATGTCAGCTGCATGTCACTAGTGCTGTGTGCAAGCAAGATTCCCGAGACAGAGTCGTAACCCATGTGTTAGTTTTGTCTCCTTGTGCCCTTTTGAGTGTACTCGGTAGAAGGAGGTTCTAAATGAAATTTTAGAAACAGGACCTTGGGAGGACTTAGGTGGGCTTTCTTAGAAGACATGCATAAACCAAGACCCACTGATTGAGTAGAAGTTGGGCAGATGGAGGGGAGTGGGGTCTGGGGCAGGAGGAGGGAAGAGAAGTGTATTCCAGGTGTAGCGTAGAGGTGAGGAGATGAGAAATAGCCTGATCTCTTAGAGGGATTCAAAGATCAGTATAGTTGCGTGGGAGGGAAGGGCAGAGCTGTGCAGGGCTCTTGTGGGAAGGATCTTCTCTGAACACTCCACATTTTAGCTTAAGGCCTCATACAAAGTGGGCAGTAAGTAAATATTGTTGAAAATAAAGTCTGAAAATCGTATGAGTTTTTGGTTCCTTAACAAATTTCCCTTCTCATAATTCAGAACCACCATGTATCAACTTCCCATTCTCTTCACTGGAAAATTTGAGGGTTATCTCCAAATGGTTCTTGGATTCTAAGGCAGAGGGAGAAAAACATTTGCATCCTTGGAGCAGAGGCTCTGATGGAGTTTGTTGGTAAGCAAGTTTTCTCAGGTAGTGATGACTGAAGGTGAGTGAAGTATTGAAGCCTCAGGGATAGGAATTATCATGCAGATAGCGAGAATACACTTGACATCTTCAAAGCACAAGCCCATTTCAAAGGTGGTTTTCTTAAGGAAAAAAATGGTGATCCATAGTATCTTTCAGGAAATCAACTCTTGAAATTATAGTTTCTGCTGCTTTTTACTTGTGTCTTCTTTCAGTGAATTAGACTATAACCGAGCTTCTTTCTTGATTTGCATTTCTCCTTAAGTATTCTGAGCTAAGTTCTACCCCACAGAGCTCCAGAAAATGGATAAACTATGCATCTGAGTGTCGAACAGTGGCGGCAGACGCCTACACACCAAACCCTGGCTGTGTGGGATGCTGCCATTTTCCCCCAGTCATTTCAGGTCAGAAACACCTCTGCTCCCAAAGAATAGCTTTGAGGGGCCCCCACACAAGGTCTTTGTATGCACCGTATAAGATGACAATCAAGGAGCAATATACTGTTCTGCCCCCTCCCAGGAATAAGTGTGGGGCTACTTTTTGCCCTTATGGGCATAACAGGGATTCTGCAATTATTCAGCCTCACGGGAAACCCTGTGAATTACCTTTAGAGGGCTTGAAGTCAAAATCAGAACATGATTTTACTTTATTCCCATCCAATTAGCCAAGCTCTCTTTTGAAAAAAACATTAATACATACGATTATGGAACTTTGGGAAACTGTAGAAAATTATGATGACAGGGGAAAAAAAGTATTCGCCTTTCTGCAGACTTAGACTCCCATTGGTATGCTCTTTGGCTTCAGGCCACTTGCCATCTTTAGGATAAAATCCGCATGCTGAGGATCCAGAAGCCTGGATTCTTTCTCAACGACATTGATGAGAAACCATTCTGGCTCTCTACTGCTTACCTCTGAACCTTTTGTTGCTTGAGTTAAATAAACCTCTATCCTTTTAAATCATTAAAATAGCTTTCTTTTGAGGTATCACACACATTCAGAAAAGTGCATCACAAGTTTAGAGCATGATAAATGTTTTTCAAAGCTGATATATGTATAGACATGTCATATATGTATATCAAGAAAAAGAACATTATCATAAGCGACTCCCAGTTACTCCCACTTCTTTAAGTAACCTGTATCTGAAAGTAACCATAGATTAGTTTTTCCTGGTTTTGAAATGTATGGGAATGGAATCACACTGTATATGTTCTCTTTGTTTCTGGCTTCTTCTGCTCAACATTATATTTGTGAGATTTATCCATACTGTTGTATGCTCATTCACTTCACTGTATAGTGATATAGTTTATGAGTATACCATAATTTGTTTCTTCATTCTGCTACTGATGACACATTTGAGTTGTTTCCAAATTGGGGCTATTACAAATAATACTGCTGTGAGTATCCTTGTACATCTCTTTTAGTGAGTATGTACACACTTTCTGTTGGAGAAATACCTAGGAAAAGAACTGCTAGCTGCGAATGTGCATGCTCAGCTTCAGTAGATACCGCCAAAGTGTTTCCAAAGTATAAAGTTACTTCTGGAATACAAAGAACCAGCACTCTACGACAGTTCCAGTTGCTTCATATCCTTGCTGTCACTTGGTATTGTCTATTTCATTTTAAGCATTCTGATGGGCGCATAATCCTACCACATTGTGGTTTACATTTGCATTTTCCTGATGGTTTTAAAAGTTGAACACCTTCATATATATTTAATGGCCATTTGGATATCTTTTTTTTAAATATTTTTATTTATTTTATTTTATTTATTTGACAGAGAGAGACACAGCGAGAGAGGGAACACAAGCAGGGGGAGTGGGAGAGGGAGAAGCAGGCTTCCCGCTGAGCAGAGAGCCTGATGCGGGGCTCGATCCCAGGACCCTGGGATCATGACCTGAGCCGAAGGCAGACGCTTAACGACTGAGCCACCCAGGCGCCCCTGGATATCTTTTTTTTTTTAAGTTTCTGTTCCAGTCTTATACCCATTTTTCTACTGTGTTCTCTCTTTTTTTCTTTTTGTAGAATTTCTATATATATTCTGAATATGGAGTTTTTGTTGGATATATATTTTGCCAGCATCCTCTCTCCATTTTGTAGCTTAATTTTTCAATCTTTTAATGATATTTTTTGAAAAATAGAAGTTTTTTATTTTAGTAGAATTCAATTTTTTTTTTCTTTATGGTTAGTTTTTGTGCTCAACTTAAAGAAGCTTTGCCTACTCTATGGTCATGGAGATATTTTCATGTTTCTCTTTAAAAGTTTTATTGTTTTATTTTAGCTTTCATAGTTAGGTTTTATATATATATATATATACATGAGTGCACAGATCTGCACACATAGAACAGATATATATAGATACAGATATATATAAAATATATGTATATATATAAAATATATATATAATTAATTTATTGTGTATAGTATGACGTAGGGCTCAAAATGCAGTTTTTCCCTCATGGAAATAAAAATTGATTTAGCCCCAATTATTAAAGATCACCTCGGGGTGCCTGGGTGGTGCAGTTTGTTGAGCCTCTGACTCTTGGTTTCGGCTCTGGTTGTGATCTCAGGATCGTGATATTGAGCCCTGAGATGGGCTCTGCGCTTAGCATGGAGTCTGCTTCAGATTCTCTCTCCCTCTCCCTCTGCCCCTCCCCTCCATGCCCTCTCTCTTGCTCTCTCTCACGCTCTTTCTAAAATAAATAAATAAATCTTTAAAAAAAATCACCCCTTCCACAATGAACTGCAATGTCACCTTCATCACAATGCTTAAGCCATCTCAAATTGGCTTTTGTTGTTACTAGCAGTCAGAGAATCACATCTGGTGTGTGTGCATGTGTATGACTGTGTATACCCATGAATTTTCCTTTGTATCCTTAAATATTTATTAAAAATATAGTATTTAATATGTGTTAAATAGTCCATGTTAGTGATATACCATCATCTGCTTAATCAATACTCTGAGGCTGGACATTTGTTTCCAACTTTTGGTTATTATAAATGATTCTAAAATGAATGTCTTTGTCCATAAATATTTGCACATATATTTCTCTATTTTCTTTAAGTGAGCTCCTAGAAATAGAATTATGGGTAAAAATGTACAAATTTTTCAAGGCTTTAAACACAACCTGAAGAAACATGTGGAGAGTGGGCTTTTAAAGTACCATAGTTCTGCAGTTGAGAAGCCAATAATACCACTTTTAAAATAAAATATATTTATTTAGCTTTTTTTCCCTAATAAATTTCATTGATTTTTTTTTTAACTATTTACTTTCCTAATGACAGTAGAACTCAGCAGATTGGAACTTACTTGACATGAAAATTAAACATAATTTCAACATAATAGCCTGTCTATTTATTTCTTGTACTTGAAACCAGGAAGGCAAACAATGGGGGCAGGTACTTCTTATATTCAACACATTATTCCTGCGCATGGATTCCTTTTTTCCTTGATTTTGCTATTGCCCTTTGTTCTTTTGTAAGCTATAGATGATCCAAGAATGGAATGAAAAGAATGTTTTGGAGGAATGTCGGACTTGCTTGGTGGGGGGTAGGGGGCTGATGGTAGCAGGGAACTGCTCCTAAATACTCTATCCCCGATTCTTCATGTATTGTTTTCATAGCCAATGAAGGAGAAGAGAGATCAAGAAAAGGAGAAGCAGAGTTGGGGAGGTGGGATTTTCACTCTATAAAGGGCTAATTTAAAGATTTAACTCAGAAAGACTGCGGAGTACTTGGAGCTGCCTCTACCAAGCCAAAGCAGACTGAGCCAGAGGTGCCCCCTGGGCTCAGCCATCTGCTGGGTTTCAGGGAACAGACCCTTCCCAGGTGGAGATGGGGGTCCTCAGTTGCTATGGCTCTGAAGAATAAATCCCGCCTTTGTAAAGGTAAGCAAAGTCAAAACTATACCCTGTAAAGTGTAGAAAAAGGGTTCTTTGTGAGTAGACCTGAAATGCTGCAAAGGGGGGGCTAGTGCCTCTGCCACAGTGGCGGTCCCGTGGGTCACGGGTGCAGGTCGCCCACCGCCTCCCACGCTGGCCCGGGGGAAATCCGCCCGGGGCCAAAGGAAGGGCCCCCGTATGGTTTGTGCTGGATCTAAAACCACAGTGCTTGGGCAGTAATTGTAAGTATCTGGGAGGAACTTGTTCCCTCGGGTGAGAGAAGAAGGAGATAGGGCAGCCGGAGAGCTCCTGGACGAGCATGGAGGTTGGTGTACTTTTCCCAGGTGGTCCCTCCCCCGCTGCTGAGCATCTCGGAAAGCACCTGGGCCCGGAGGGGTCGGACCCCTGGGAGAACCAGAGGAGAAGGATGCTTTGGGGAGGAGTTCCCCAGGGGAACTTCATGTGTTCTGGCAGTCCAAACTGTGGCCAGACTTCCGCGGTCTTTGGATAAACATTTCCATTTTCATGTTTTTGAACTTACTCTTGTTGCTGCTGCTGTCGTTTGCTTCTCTTCTTCCCAAAGTTCCTGTTGAAAATCTCTGATTATTGTCTTAGCTTTTGAAAGAATTTGGAGGAAAAAATGCCTCAGACTGTTGCGGGTTGAATTATGTCTCACGAAAAGATATGGAGAAGTCCCAAGTCTGGTACGTATGAACATGACCTTATTTGGGAATAGGGTCTTTGCAGATGTTATCAACTGGGATAGGGTGGGTCCTAAATCCAATGAGGGGTGTCCTCATAAAGAGAGAGATTTGGAGACCCAGATACACTCACGGGAACGAAGCCTACGTGAAGGTGCAGGCAGAGTTTGGGGAGGTGCATCTATAAGTCAAGGAATGCCAAGGATTCCTGGCAGCCTCAGAAGAGGCCAGGAGAAACACTCACCTGGCAGGGAGCATAGCCCTACGGACACCTTGATTTTGGACCTCTGCCTCCAGAACTGTGAGAGAATAAATTTCTGTTGTTTTTAGTCATCCAGGGACTCTGCTATAGCAGCCCCAGGGCATTCACGCACAGGCTGTGGGACTCAGAGCCTCCCTGGGGTGGTAAGTGTCCCCGCTGGAGACCTGAGCAGATATGTGGATGGAGTGAAGATAGAGCTGCACTTAGCTGCAGAATGGCCACGTATGGGGATTCAGAGGCACTAAGGCCTTGCAAGTCACATTACATAGATCTAGCTGAACCGGAATTTTTCTTTTCTTTTTTTTTTTTTTTTAAAGATTTTATTTATTTATTTGAGACAGAGAGAATGAGATACAGAGAGCATGAGAGGGAAGAGGGTCAGAGGGAGAAGCAGACTCCCCGCCGAGCAGGGAGCCCGATGCGGGACTCGATCCAGGGACTCCAGGATCATGACCTGAGCCGAAGGCAGTCGCTCAACCAACTGAGCCACCCAGGCGCCCCGGAATTTTTCTTTTAATGTGGTAAAAAAAACCCCACATAACATGAATTTTACCATTTTTTAAGTGTACAGTTTAGTAATGTTAAGTATCTTCCCATCACTGTGGGACTTGAACAGATTTTTAGGACTGGAAGATATTATACTTTTTAAAAGTGTTTGTCATACAATTATTCTTACCCTTCACTCCCTAACTACTGAGTACAAGCCTGAGTCCTAGTGATGATTCTCTCTCTTAAGGGAACAAAGTTTACAATGAGTCCAGCTGGTTAATATGAGGTTTTGGATTTTGAAATGACAGTGAGGTCATCTTTTAGCAACTAAGCTTAAAGCTAATGTCATGCTTCATTTGGTAGTGTATGTTAAATTGGCTTTGGTCAATCAATGCTAGGTTTAAAAAGTAAGACAGAATGTGTGGGATGTTCTCGCTCCATTATGATAAATGTTGTGGCTACTCAAGGCTATTGCTGTGATTTGGAATTCACTCAGTCTGGCATGGTGCCCCCCGCTCTCCAGAATGAGGGGAAGCTGACAGCTGGATGAAGAAAGGCTTTGTGGAGGAAGCGTCATTAGAGCTGACCTTCAGGGACGAGTCCAATGCTATTGCGGGCACTCCTGGGTAAGTTATTACAGAAACTACAGAGGAGATCACTGCATAGGAGGTGAAAAGCACATGTGGGCATCCCTGAAGAAACCAGTAGGGAAGCTGCCCCAAAGCCAAGAGTCTTCCAGCCTTTTCTGAGGTTAATCCCAGTCTGTGTATAGAGCCTCATAAACCAAGACAAGTGTGGGGGTGGTTAGAGGGGGTTCCTCTCAGTCCCCTGGCTTTAGTCTGGGGTGTACCGGCTCAGGTCGAAGAAGCAGCACCTACCAACTTCTTCCCAACTGCTTGAACCAGCTGAGCCAATTGCATTGAGTTCTTGACACCGAGGCTTCTCAAACAGGAACCTGTTGGAAGTAAGGACCACAGACAGAACACTCCTCTCTTCTACCTTCCCCTCTGATAGGACATTTTCGTAGATGTGCTCATCTCGTGGCTGTGACTCTGATGAGTGGGATAGTGATTACCTGTCTAGGTTGTGTCACTTGCCCCAGGGAGGGGCCAAGACTTAGTCAGTTAAAGCCTCTTCTCATTACGCAGAACACACCCACCCTATTGGCCCAGCTCTACTGCTTTTGACGTCAGGGATGTAGATGAGGGCTGATTGGTCCCATTTAAAATAGAATGAAGAAGGGCACTTGGGTGGCTCAGTTGGTTAGGCGACTGCCTTTGGCTCAGGTCATGATCCTGGAGTCCTGGATCGAGTCCCACATCGGGCTCCCTGCTCAGCAGGGAGTCTGCTTCTCCCTCTGACCCTCCTCCCACTCATGATCTCTGTCTCTCATTCTCTCTCACACAAATAAATAAAATCTTAAAAAAAAAAAATAGAATGAAGAAAAGTCCCCATTTATTTAGTCAGGATAGTGTTTCAACAACAAAACCCTGGAAAGCTCCGTAGATCCAAAGTTTATTTCTTGCATTGCTATATGTCCCTTGTGGGTGGGCTGTGGTTCTGTCCCATCTTATCCCTTGTTTGGGTGCCAGGCTGATGAAGCAGCGGGCACTAATTGGAACCTTGCTCTTTATCTCATGGTAGGGAGCTGCTTGGTGAACCACCCATTAGCCCTTAAAACTTCTGCCTGGAGGTGATCCAAGGCTCTTCTGCTCCAATTCCACTGGCCAAAGTCAGTCATATGGCCAAGTTTGCTGTCAGGGGGGTAGGGACAGGATAATCCTCTCCCTGGGAGCAGCATGGAATATTTGTGAAAAATAATACAATATTTCACGCTTGGTCACCAAGGGAGGTATTCCTCAATTGCATTGTAAAATTGCCTTAGCTGATACATACTGATGGGCTTTTTAGTTGCCAACCTATAAAACAGTGGGAGAATCTGCATGGTAAGCACCAATGTCAAGGTGATTGGTGAAGGTACTTCAGGTTGCATGAACTGCTGAGCAATAACAGATTCAAAGTGTAGTATGTGATTTAAGTTGGAGCAATGGAGTGGAAGGCAAGGAGCTTGAGTGTGGTGGGCCTTAGGCACTAGGGGTTTAGAATTATTCTTTAGGCAGTGAAGTTTCATGGACAACTTTAGAATGTTAGGATGCACAGTCTTCCTGCCAAGATCCCTGAGGGCATTACGAAGGATGAATTGACGGCTGGCTACCAGTTAGAAACTATCACTAGGAGAGTAATGATGAAGTCCTGATTTTAGAGTTCCTTTGGGAAAAAAGGAGATGGGGGTGGTTAAAACCCAGAATTTGATTTCAGTTTCAGACAGATTTAAGTTCAAGGTCTGCCTTTGAAATATCACAGCCACATGATTCTGGGGACATTCCTCTGCCTCTCTAAACCTTGGTTTCCTCCATGTAAGATAGAGATGATAATAATATCACCTTCCATGGTTTGCTGTGGGAACTAAATGAAGTAACATATGTAAAGTGTTTACCAAAACCCGATACACCTAGAAAGCCCTTATGTGTGGAAAAACAGAGACACTAGAGATTTAGAATCAATAGGATTTGGTGATTATATGTGAAAAGTGAAGATGTGGGAGGATTTGAAGAGAGTACCAAGGTTCCCCGGCTGGAGAATGGTAATACCACTCATCTATTTAGGAGCTGGTGATAGTTGGGGGAGGACAAACAGAATCTGAGATCTCAGGGAGACATCCAAGGAGAAGGGTCCCCGGCAGGTGCTTAGAAATCTGAGCTAGGCTCAGGAGACAGGACTTGTACAATGGGTCATTTGCCGATTGTGTGGACAGATGACTCCTGGGGTCTCTGCTGCAGAAAATACTTAGCTGTCTACATTCGAGCACACTGCATACCCCTAAGAGCTGAGGAAAAAGACTGTTTTCCAAGCTGAATCCTGGACACTCACACTCACACCTGAAGGGCTTCTTAAAACCCAGAGTTTCTGATTCAGTAGGTCAAGGGTGTTCAGCTGGGGATGGGACCTGGGTTTCCTCACTTCCTCCGAGTGCTCTGCTCTTGTGCCACCTCTGCCTTAACAGAGTCTTCAAGAAGACCTGGAAAATGCTGAGCCCACGAATGGGAGTGATTGCCTTAACACCATTGAGCCTCGCGTCTAGAACAAGATTTAGGGAAATGGCCTTTTGAGAATACACAGCAGATTGCTAGGAGATCAGCAGCAATTCAACATGACAAGTGTGGCATATGTTTTGATTTGTAACATCCTTGGGTTGTAATTCATACAGTAAGTCTTTAGCCTATGAACCTCATGCAAGAGATATCATCTGCCCTGATGAACTGAAAAGCCACAGAACTACGATAAATGCCTCTTGCGTGCAGATCTTTGTCTCACTCAATATTCTGCCTTTGGCAGCAGGCACTGTCACAGAGGGTCTCTTCCCTCATGCGTTAGTGGGGAGGAGGGGTTGGGATGGAAGAAGTGACATTCCTAAGCTCCCCTTAATAATAAAGAATGCACAAATTCATGTCCCTGGAGTATTTAGTTTTTGCCTGGATGTAAAGCATTCTCTTAGTTTACTAACAACTATGTAAACTACAGTAATCCTTTCATTTTCCAAAGGACCATCTATAGGAGCTTCTAAAATTTTTTGGCAGTATAATTGACATACAGTAAACTGCACATACTCAGAGTGTACAGTGTGATGAGTTTTGACATATATTCACATCCATAAAACCATCACCCCACTTAATATAGTGACCATATTCATTACCCTGAAAGTAGCCTTATTCCCCTTTATAATTCCACCCCACTCCCTGCATGACCCTATCCCCAAGCAACCACTGATCTGTCTTCTATTGCTACAGGTTGGTTTGCATTTTTTAGAATTTTATATAAGTGGAATCATATCATATATACTTTTTTTTTTTCGTCTGGTTCTTTCACTCAGCCTGAGCATTTTGAGATTCATCCATGATCTTTTATGTATCAATGGTTCATTCCTGTTTCTTGCTGAGTAGTATTTCTTTGTATCGATATATTCTATATCCGTATTTCTTTGTATGGATATATTTATTTGTTGATGGGAATTTAGGTTGTTTCTAGTTGGGGACTATTACAAATACAGCTGCTATGAACATTCACATACAAATTTATGTATACACAGATGCTTTCATTTCTCTTGGGCAAATACCTAGGAGTGAAATATTTGGATCATGTGATAGATGTATGTTTAAAGTTTTGAAGGATCTGCCAAAATTTCTAAAGTAGTTGAACTATTTAAGATTCCTACCAGTGATGTACGAGAGTTCCAATTTTTCCACTTTCTAGCCCATATTTAGCTTGGTTAGTGTTTTTCATTTTAGCCATTCTAGTGGATATATAGAGGTATCTCATTGTGGTTTTAATTTGCATTTCCTTGATGATCAATGTATTGATTTTTTTTCATGTACTATTTCCTATGAAAATGTCTTGAAGTGTCCATTTTTAAATTGAACTGTTTGACTTTTCATTATTGAGTTGTAACAGGTTTTTAAAAACATATTCCAAATACAAGGCTTTTGCCCAACATATGTTTTCCAATCTGTAGCTGGGCCCTTTCAGTTCATAACAGTATCTTTTGAAAAGCAAACATTTTATTTTGATGAAGTCCAGTTTATTGGTTTTTTTCTTTCATAGTTCCTATTTGTGTTTCATTTAATTATCCAACATTACTAAGATGTTTATGCTTTCTTCTAGAAATCTTATAGTTTTAGTTCTTATGTTTAAATCTATGATGCATTCTGAGTTAACTTATGTATATGGTATGAGGTAAGGGTCCAGATTCATTTTTTTTACATAGAGCTAACCAATTGTTTTGGCACCAATTATCCTTTCCTCATTGAGATGCCTTGGCCTCTTTGTTAAAAATCAGTGGATCAGGGCGCCTGGGTGGCTCAGTTGGTTGGGCGACTGCCTTCGGCTCAGGTCATGATCCCAGGGTCCTGGGATTGAGTCCCGCATCAGGCTCCCCCTGCTCTTTGGGGAGCCTGCTTCTCCTTCTCCCTCTGCCTGCCACTCCCCCTGCTTGTGCTCTTTCTCTCTCTCTGTCAAATAAATAAATAAAAATCTTAAAAAAAAAAAATCAGTGGATCATATATGTGTGAATTCTCTATTCTGTTCCATTGACCCATGTCTGCCTTTATGGCCAATACCACATCATCATAATTACTTTTACTTTATATGTATTTCTATCTTTCTTAGTTACTTTATAATGTTTTAATAATTGGTTTCTCTAATTATTTTTTTGACATAAAGCCAACCAAAATCTTTTAGTTGTACAAACTTTAATCAAATCCCCATATAGCCTATGTCTCTCTAAACTGAGAAGTCTTGATTTTTCTCTTTTTTTTTTTCCTATCCAGAAACTCAAAAATAATTACTTTGGTGAGTTTTCTTTATCCCATTGCTTCCATTCCTAATGTGCTTCCTTTCCACCATGTGCCTGAGCCTCCCCACCCATGGCACATGAGTAGGTACCAGAATGAGTGGCTGCTCTTCCCCCCCCACCCATGGCACATGAGTAGGTACCAGAATGAGTGGCTGCTCTTCCCCCCCCACCCATGGCACATGAGTAGGTACCAGAATGAGTGGCTGCTCTTCCCCC